ATATATATATACATATATATATATTCATATATGTATATATATGAATCTCAAGCTTGTAGATTTAAGTGATTTTATTCTGCTCTTAACAACTAGTCACACCATCATAAAATTTGAGCATATATTGTGAGCCGTACAGAACTACTTCAATCATACTAGCTATATGTGCTGGTGGCGATTAGGTCATCGAAAAGCCCAAACATTTAGAAATATATGCTTCTTCAAAAATATTGAAAAAAAACATTGAATAAAAGACATAACTTTCTCGTTTTTGTCAAGCCTACTGAAAAAAAGTTAATGTATTTACAATACAGTACATTAAAATTACAATAAATATAATGTTTATTTGCTTTTTTTTTCAATATTTACTCAAGTTGGTTTTAATATTTCTTGAAGGATAATATTTGTGGGTCATTTCTGCAATTTCTTCCCTTGCATGAAGAGAGTAAGTTGTTAAACTACCATTAATAACAAACTCTAAACCTAAAGTAAGAACTGTTTCTGTTATTACCTAAACGGAATGTAAACCATTAAAAATGTTGCTGCTATGATAACAAATTTAATTTACAGACGTAATTAACGCTTATAGTCACAAAATAAGAACGCAAAATCCTCAGAAATGAAATGATTTAATAATCGCTAAACAAAATTTGTAGGATTTGAGGAAAGTTGCACCGTTTCAATATTCTGTGATAATTTGTGGTCATGCTTCTCACTTATCAGTGGCTATTATCATTTTATTTAGGTGTCTGAGGAACAGAAATGGATATTTTTTCGCCTTCTTTTTGAACTATTCTTAATAAACTGAAATCTTTATTTCCAAACTTCAAGAGAAAAGAAACAAAGACAAATAAAAGTAAATAATATATGATATTATACTTAACTAGGCAAGGACCTACTCCAGAGAAGATGATTTAATTAAATATTATCTTATCAAAGATTTCTTTACAATTAAATCTAAAAGAAATACCTGATATTTCTTTATCACTAAGACAAAAATTAGTTTCTTTCTAATCGTTTAAATCTCGAAATACATGGATGAAAATATTAAAAACTTCACTTCCTTTCAAGGAATATCAACCGCAGTGCATTTTAAAATGCATTTTTCGTTGTATAGCTTTCACATGAAACTAAATTTCATTGCAACAGAGGAAGATCTGTGGCTGAAAATTTGTTTGCACGATCAAATTGAGCATCGAACGAATGAAATGAGATGTGCCAGTTGAAAAGCCAGCAAATGTAAATCGTCAACAATTAGTAAAGACATTTTAACATTACAGCAAAATGATTGTATTCAATATCTTACCGCAAATCATTCCTGCCTAAAATGAAAGTTTGGTACTGTTCGCTGTCATTTTACTAAAGCATTCCTTATGAGTATCCATCATTCAACGATATAATACATACAATTTTAAATTTCACTGTAATTTTTCCTACAGGTTTTGAATTTATATTCCATTTTATAGGTTAGTTTCTTGCTTCCCTAATATACCTTCTCATTGTAATGAGCCGAGAAGTGTATTACTGATAACGGAAAGTATAAAACTGTGCTTCAAAACTGTTTAGTATTGTCTTTGGTAATCATGCAAAATCTCTTACACAAATTTTAATTAGGATTCTCTCTAGTCTTTAAAAAAACCTCTATTTTCAGAAACCTTGAGTTTCATAGTTCCTTTTTGTGAATGCAGTTTTAGCAAAAACTACATTGTAGATGAATTATCCACAATGTGTTGTTATACAAATCGTTTCGATATATTCTGCCTACACTGCTGGCATAACATGTTATGAATGTTCATCTGGCATTGCCCAAGACTGCCTTCTATCAAGTATTTCCTGCACCTATGGACTGTTCGGTTGTATGAAAGCTACAATTTATTCTGGTGGCATCGACAAATGTTAGATTTTATTTTATTTCCATGACGAATAATAAGTATTTCAGATTTGTATCGTAGCAAAAATAGTATATTACTTTTATCTCAATTACAGTTGGCAATTATATGAACCAAAGAGACCGTACAATGGCAATGTACAGAGGTTGTGCAGTGTTACCGATTGCAGAAGCGGATAGATGTCAACAATTTTCAATACTTGGCTATCGTATTGTCACTTGCTTCTGCTTCAATGACTTTTGCAATGGTTACACACCAAGTAAACCAACCTTTGTGGTGGTTTTGTCGGTTATATTCTACCTTGCCTATATTATATAATGAACTTTAGCGTCCAATAATTCTAATATACTGAAGTTAGCGCTACGAAAATTCTACTTGATATCATGCCAATAGTCCCTTCAACACTGCGCTTCTTTCAAAAAATCTACATATAACAGACTAGCAGCAGTCAAATCCTTCTCTGAATAACGGCTGAAATGTATCAAATGATTCCAAGTACATCATAAAATCTCTGAGAAACTGATATCGACCATGTGCAGGACAAACTGCTTGAATAATCTTGATATAAAGAACTTTCTATCGAGTTTATCATATATTATGACCAATAAGTTTTGATCTAGAGAAACCCTATACAGTCTAATCCGTTTATTTGAACTTCGATCTCTAGTGCAGATCCAAAATTGTATTTTAAAAAATACTCTTGAGATCTCAGCTGTAACTTATTAAAGCTATAATTAGCATTTTTGACTTAGACTTTTCACAATTTAATGCCAAAAACGAAAAAAGTATGACAACGGTTAGAACGCATCTGGATAAAGCAAGAATCCAACACTAGCAAAAAGTAAGCACAAATTCAACACTTCAATTAAAAAAAATTAAGGTCCTTTAATTTTTCCTTGAAAAAATTCTACAGTAAGTAATATATAATGAACATGACACAATATTGTTTAAGAACTGTTTAAAAGTGGTTTTGCAAGCAGAGTAATACTTCAACAATAAGCGTTCGGCTCATCAAACTTTACCATCATTTAAAAAATTAGGAAATTAAAAAGCCAAAACGTTATTATTACTATTATGATATACGAATTATGTTACACATAAAGCATAGGCATTCTTTTTTTTTCCATGGGCATGGAACCTGTCCTAAAGAAAAAATTTGGAAAACAGACAACAATAATAATAGAACACTAACACTGAATAAAGCACATTTACCAAGATATAATAAATGAAAAAGCAGTTAAAAAATGATATTTGGACATGAGCACGACTAACATGATCACTGCTAATGCTTCCAAAAATTTAAACTACTCATAAAGACAAATTATCGCAAACCAAAAAGTGCACATATTATAAGTAAGAACACTTAAATCTTTTAAACCAAAAGAAAAACAAATGACGTAAGTAAAGATCTTCATAAAAATACACGTTTAATATCAAATTCTTGGGAATTCACTATCTTTGAGTGGTGATACTAGATTATTGTGCTGCATAGCTGCAAGTGAAGCACGTTGAAATTCACTAGCTCCTGGACGCAAAAAAAAAATCTCACCATTTCCAGACAAAACAGCTGAAGCAATTCCCTCAACGTCACATGCCTAGAAACATGCCATACAAAATAAAATAAAGTACATGACGATAATATCCTCAAAATATATTTCATTCGGATACATGTACTCGTGCAACTTTCGCACTGCATGGAATTACAGAACATATATTTTTAATTTCTAGTATAGCAGAAATAAGCATTGTCTTAATTTCGTCATGCTCATTTTTAATGCAATAATGAATTGCGGGAAGATTTGAGATGATTAATACCTTAGTGAAGTTCATTTTTAAACAGTGTTTAATAGTATGAGCTGAGAATAAAAAGAGTTCGCCTTGATTTGTGATAACAACAATGAATTTCTCATACAGCTTCCGATCTGAAAAGTAGTTACGAGTGCAAGTGGAGTTCCATGAGTTAAACCAAAAATAACCTGCAGGAAGGACTAGGTATCTCCAAACAAATCACTTGTTTTGTAATTATCTTAAACTTTTTAACAGAACTTTTTTAACTAACTTGATTTAAAAAAACAATTCAGTCTTGTAATTGTTTTTTTGATAAATATTTTAATAGATGCAACAACTGTGCTGTAATATAGCATACCAGCTGTTTAAAAAAAAAGTAAAAAAAGACTACATGAAATTGAATTTTGAATAAACCGAATTTTCATAAAATAAAAGTAAAAATTGGTATGAAAACAGATCAAAAATCAATCCCTGTAGTTTAAAAATTAAATTACGCACTTGTAATTGATCGCAATGTAAGAAGCTGTGCTTTCCTGATTCGTGAACCTTCTAAACTCGTAAATTTATAACGAAATCTAGTTGGTTTCATCGTTGGAAGAGCGAATGTCTTAATTTGTTCCTCAGTATATATTATAACTCTTTCTGTGCCTGTTAAACCCTGAACTGCTTTAATTATAAAAAGTGAACAGAAAGTACAATAAACAATGAATTTCCATGTTTGATGAAAGATAATGTTTACAGTGCAAAGAACAATTGGAATTTATATACAGCACCTTAATGAGTTGAGACCCATCGATAGTTGCACAAGTGAAATCAATAACTGGTGCTCGATGTTGTAGATGAACTTCCTTCACGAGAACACAAACGTCTTCTGGTTTTAATGCATCATCCGATATTGCATACGCAAATATTATTCCTGCGCATTTAGGACATTAACATACTTGATGTTATTTTATGAAAAATAAAGAATGCAATAGTTATTTAATACCAAAATTTAAAAACGATCTAATTTCTAAAATATATAGTTGAGAAAAATTATCAGTAAATATACCGCCATTTGTTCCAATCCAAAGACTATCAGTGCGAGATGCAGTCGACAGAATATTTGTGTTGAAAAACCTTAGCACTCGGACACAAGAAAGAGGAGGATCAGTACCTGAAAAGTATCAGTTTATTATTGATTATACTCATTTGCACACAAGCACTTTGAAAGGTTTCAAACTCAAATTTGTCAAAAAATTACTGTTCACTTGTGTCTCCGTTCGAGAAACAACCTGACGTTCAACAGGTCTGAATTCATCGAAGTCATCATTATTTCCTGCACAAATTGTTTCTGTTTGATAAGTTCCGTCCTGAAATATTTGTAAATTGTCAGAGTTATTTTAACAACGATCTAGGGAGATAATCTTGAAAAAGTAACCGAGATCCAATTTTGTAATCAACTGAATCTAAATTTTTACCTGCGTGCTTTTTTTTTTGCGACGAAAAGATTGACGAATTGATTTCTTCATGCTCTTAAATCTTGCCAAAGCACTAACATCTCCAGACATATCCATCATATCTACAATGTATATTATTTTGACGGTAGCAATTCCGTCATTAACATGATATTTTATTTAGAATCATGATTTAAAAATACTCCATTGTGTACAGTTAAATTTAAACTATCTGTATAAACAAAAAAATAACAATCAACAATTCTGTTGCATAATACAAATATAGCACAGCTTTTAAATTTAATTCTTCAGTATACTGCTATAAACGTCCTTTGTAATCAAAAGATTAGGGCCAAAAAAAAACTATGTTTATAGTCAAAAATCAAATTTTATAGAAACAAGAGGTCGTGAAAGAGGAGAAAAATAAACCGTTTGAATTTAGCAAACATGAAGATATAAGAGTAGCCTGATTTTTTAAGTCGCATACTACAAAACCGTATTCGCACCCAACTGCTAAGAGATTGCGTGACTGAAGTGATGCGACTGCTGTTACCGCAACAGAAGGTTGTAATTGAACAAGACAGCTAAAAGGAAAACGATATATGACACAATTTTATTCTAGAGCAAAATATCCTACATAAACTAAAATGATCCCACTTTTGTTTCCTGCACGTGACCGCCTTTTAAATCTCATTAGATCTTTTCTGGCAATCTAATAAAATTTGAAGATAAATCTGCAATATAACCATCAATACTGGTTTAAATATCTGAACTGTCTCTAATACTTTCTCAAAAGTCGAACTAGCAACGAAGAGAAAAAAAAGAGACATTTAAAAAAATATTCCAAATAAATAATGAGCTCAATATTATGAAATTTTGAAAGTAACCTTTGATTTTGACTAATTTTTAGTGGTTGGTATCCTAATGGATATGTTAATGAAGATCGACGAGGAGGCAAAGCTTGTTGAGCACTGTTTGTTGATAATGCTGATGCATTCCCGACTTCATACTGTGTTCGTGTTACGGTCAGAGCTGCCTGATAAAATTCAAATAATGAGCAAATACTCATGATAAGTGAATATGCGCAAGTAATGAACTAAATATTTAAAATAAAATGTCTTACCGATGACTCGTCATCCAAATCATACACAATAACATGACCAGCACGACCACCTACAACTAACTGTCCACTAGCTGAATCGAAATATATTTTCTGTATAGCCAGGCGCGAGTCATCACAAAATGGATCGTATGTTCCAACCTTAAAATTATATAAAGATAAATTAGTTCATTCACATTACGGCACAGTAAAAACTTAAAAACCTTGCGGAAAGGGGGCCAATCAGTAAGTTCATTGGAGTCTTCATCAGATGATTTATCGCTTAAAACTCCGCCACAGCTATCTGAAAATTTCATACCATTGTTTAAGAATCACACAGTTACCTTCGAACTTCGTTACAAACATTTTCTAAATCTAGAAAAAATTAAAAAAAAGAACTTCTAAAAATTGCTCCCAAAATAATAATTATCTCTAGATATAGTGCAGAACTGACCAAGGGATTCGAATTCCGTTTTCACATTGCCTATATCAGATGAAAAACATCCCTCAAATTCTTTTGTCGTATCAATTTTTAGTAAATAGCGCAAAGTGACGCAGCCAGTTGACCAGAATTTTACGGTACCGTCTTCATGCCTTCAGAGTATATATTTAGCAACATAATCAAATCTGATAAGAATTATATCAGTAAACTTTTTTACAGATATGGAAAAGTGGCAATGAATCAAAGTAGAACAACTGAATAAGAAAATAAGTCCACTAATAGCTGAACCCTCACACAACCAAAGGTAATCTATGACGATCATTTCAAAATTGATACACAGGAAATAACAGTTTCTAAAATAAAAGTCACCCCGTAATCAACAGTTGCCGTTTTTCTGCATTCGTAGCAGCACATAGTGCAGGCATTTGAGCCTCCTCACCAGCATGAATAGGCCACTTACTTTTTGATGACGATTTATTTTGGATTTCGCTCGCCTTAATCAGAGCCTATAAAAGTAGCATGTAGCAGAAACTAATGTAATAGTTAATGGGTCGTTATGAGAAGAAATGCTGAGCAAATAAAAAAGAAGTTCCACTTTACCTTCCAGACGTGCTCTTCAATATTCGAACAATGTATAACACTTGTGATTTGCGATGAATGGATCGGCTGCAAATATGGCAAGTTTAAAAGTGGCCAACTTGTATCAGTTAAATCAATGCAGACAAGCTCCTGTTCACAGAGTACTACAAGAGCCAAGCAGTTTTTGTAATCTGCATCTGCAATATACAAGTTTCCTTTGCAAACGATGAACTTAGATTCTTCAAGTCATAGATACTGTAAGTCTCAATTTTTTATGAGATATGTGTGTTTGTCCAAAAAAATGAAATGCTAAGAAAAAGTAACAGCTTCTGGTATAAGACAACGAACATACTAACGACAAATGTGAACGTGCCCATTTTTTTCTGCATGATGATACAATTAAAATTCAAAAAACTGAACTAATGAAAAAAATATAGAAAAGCGCACATTTTTGGTTATGCAGAGCTGGCACAACAACGAAGTCTACAACTGGGCTACCAAAATCGAATACTACCATTTTACCTTCAGTCATTGCTGTTAACGTATAGCGATCACCATAGGATGCACGAGGCATTCCACCAGTAAACAGTTTGACCGGCAACGAATGACTGAACGAAAATATATAAAAATGAAGTAAAAAAACTTGTACAACTTCCATTAATACTTGAAGTAAATCCAGAAATTTGGAATGAAACATCAGCAATTTCAAAATTATAAAGCAATAAACAATAAAGAATGGCTATTAAAAAGTTAATAATAATGCGCAAGAAGAATAAAATGTGTACTCTACGTCCTAGTGCAGCGAAAAAAAAAGATCGTTTTTAAATAATCATTTCCTGCAAGCTCTATTTGTAACATAAGATGGGAGAATTTTGGATGTTTATGATTTTAATGAAGAGTATGCAATGAATGTTGTACTCCAACAATAGTTGATAAAAATATGTGCATCTAACCGGATTATTTTCAAAAAAATAGCAACAGTTCCCTGAACACAATAATGAATCAAAAATATCATACCTAGATGAATAAAACAATTGTACTTTATTAATAGAAGTGCAAGGAAATGGACCAAATGGTATATAAGTTGAATCGACCGGTTCTAGATGTTCAGTTTTCCACATACTTAAGGAACCATCATTATGAGAGCACATGAATTGCTCTCCATCTATGTTCCATGCTACACTCTGAAATAAAAAACCCTGAAGAACGCATGTGAAGTGAAAATCAACCAAATTTAAAGAAATAGTATCAAGTAGACAACCATATATTTGGTAATCAAAAGAATAAAAAAACAGCCTCCTATAACGCAACGCTGTAAAATAAATGAATAAAAATATAACACTTAAAAATAGAATCAAAATAAGATAATGTGACTGCACATCTAATCAAATATGAGTCTTATTTGCAGGTGAAAATTTCTATGTACATGAGTCTAAATGCATTTTGCAAAATATAAACGAAATGAAACATCTCAAAAATATACAGTGACTATCGGCTCAATAATCCAGTGCTGCAGCACTTCATTATTTGATAAGTTGTAGTGAACAACAAGATGAGTGTTGAAAACAATAAGCAGCTTTTTAGTATCAACTGGATTGATCATAATCTGGTTTGCCGACCTTCCGACGTCTTTTGAAGTATTAACACTAAAAGCTCTATAATATATACAATAATATCTGAATTTTAGAAACTGTAATATTTCTACAACTGTTGTACATCTACTTCAATGAACACACTGAAGAACACATGTTGCCTTAATCAATTTCAATTACAAACCTTTTCATAATCGCTTCTTCATAAAGTATTACTTCAGAAAACTCAAGTGATGCGGCATATAATCCAAAGATGTTACCGGTAATGGTACCAATTAACAGACAGGAATTCGATGGATCGTGCACATTTTGCATTTCGCAACAAGTTATTCGTTTCAACCTGAACGAAACGTATCGATATAATACAGTAATATGTAACAACTTTTTTATATGCTAAGTGTGCGACAACTTATTTTGAACAAAACGATATATTAACTTGTTAATTTGATATATAATTTGTACTGTAGATCATTAATGAGTTTGTATTACAAGTTGTTTAAATTCGATACTGTTAAAGTAAAGACCTGTTTTCTGTAGTCACTGTAGTACGTTCAACAGCATCACCTTTGACTTGAAATTTATGAAATGATTGATCTGAGCAAAGAACAATTAAAGTCCCTAAACCTGCAGCAAAATACATGTGAGAAACAGGAGTGTTTCGAGGAGTCGCCGAACGCCATTCTACATTTTCAGCACCAAATCTGTAAGCAAATTTTTAAAAAAGAGAAAAGTTATGAAATTTGGGAAGTATCCATTCTCCACCAATAAAGCAGCATGCACATCTCTTAAGATGTCTATCATTTTACGCATTCGGCTAGAAGGACAAAATTAAGTTCAAGATACCAAAAAACAATTTTAGTATACATCATTTCAAAATGTGACGAAACGAGTTAAGTGTGAAGACTACTGAATCAACCTCAAAACTGTTACAACGGTATATAATAAACTTGATAACGATAAAAGGATGACTACTGGAATCACAAACGATACGTCTAATATGCCCCGTACAATAAGCCTAATGGTTGTTGCTAGAACCATACATAATGTTCAAAAAATGCAATATATGATTCTTCAATATCAAGCTGAATCTATGCTGAAGATAATGATAAAACATGGAAATCGTCCCAAATACAAACTCATGTTCATATATTTCTCCTTTCTATTTGACTTGTATAGATTCTAATTGCTTCAGCTGTTAGTGTCCATATTGAATACCTACAACTATAGTTGGCAATATATAAGATACGAAAAGTAAACTATTGCTCAAAGAAAAGTTACCTACAAATGGGAATTCAAACTCACATAAAATTTTTAATAGAATGCTTCGAAACTATAATATAAAATACAACATTAAAAAATATAAAGAGCGAGATTAATAAGCGAAACTCGACCACAAATTTATATTTAAATATCCTAATTTCATTATTCGAACCAAGTGATTTAGCAGAAACGTATTATGAAAAAATAACTACACGTATAGTTTCGCTGACAGCAACTATTATTCAAAAGTTTATGCTGAAACATTGGTTCCCTATCAATTACTCTTTAAATGGTTTCATTGTTTACTTAATAGCAAGTACATCTGTAAGATATGATTTTCGAAACATTAATAAAATTTTTTGCACATTTTGTTTTGAATAAATATTAGATTTACATTCTAACTTGTCCATCATTAGTACCAAGCGCTAGAAGACCAAGTATGTAGTCGTGTGCCAATGACGAGACTAACTGCGGGAATCCGTGTCTTAAACTCTGCAAAAGCAATATCTGTCTTGATTCCAAAGTGATCAATGATAGAAAGCAGAAATTGCTTAATGCCTATGTTTTTTCCTGTAGTAAATATATAAGAGTGAAATGAGATTACTTTATTTCATATATAAAAATTCTATTTTAAGTTCGGCAGATACAAAATATACAACTCATAGGGTTAGAAAACTGCGTTGAAGATGAAGATTTTTCTTTCAAATTCTCATAAATGTAGGATAAAATTAGACAAATGACAAAAAGAAGCTTATATTACTCACAGGAGTGTATTCAAAGAAGTCGTGGATATCAGCAGTTTTGAAATCCCCTGAAGGATATAAGTGATTCCGGATAAAACGCAGCATCTGCTATAGCATTTGAACTGAAACAATTACGACTATAATCATCATATAAACTACCACAATATTTTCACACTACATTATTCGCATGTACGCCAAAATCTCTCAAATAACATACTTGTTTGAGTAGTAAGGAAATTCAATAACATATCACAAATATATAAATAATGAAATGAAAATAATATACAATAAATATTAATTATGACCATATTATTGATGAAAATAACTCAAAGCTAAATAAAAGAAAAAAAATCTTACTTTCATAGATCAAATTTTAATCATAATTCCATCAAATCAAATCAAACTTCACTAATTACAAATTATATATTTTTTTTAAAATAATTTGATATGAAGGAAGTTCGATGTTATTTAAATCTTAGACGGTTAATATCATGGGTGAATGCATAAAATGATAAGCAAGAACACTATGAATAAAGGTAAATACTTGATAAAAATTTTCATTTGTATGAAGATATAGAATTAATTGCTAGTGTAATTAGCAATTAATTTTAATTTTTTAGAGTTTACGCTAATAACTACCACTAGATCTGATGAGATGCTGCTCATTTACTTAGTACAAATACTCACGACAAAATCAGTAACTACAAGTTAGTCATTTTTTTTCTATTCTCCATATCTACTACAGACTGATTAGATTAAATAGCTAAAAATGTTAGTGATACTTGCACATTACTTCAAAGACAAGTAATAGTGCTTTTATTAAGATTAGTACCAACAGTTGCAAATAATAGACAGCAGTAAAGACAACAATCTTGAAGAACATATAACTTGACTAACAACTCACTAAACATAAGCCATTGATTTTAATTTCAATTTTTACAATTAGCTGAATATGAAGTGTTTAAATGAAATAAAAATGATGCAGTAATTAATTAAATATATAGTGAAGCTACCATTGAAACGTGATTAGATTAAAAGAGCAATGCTAACCTTAATCTTACGGAATATAAATGCAAAAATTCAAATTTGATGAGCACTATCAGTGGATAGATTTGCATATTTGGGACTATCAAAATTTATTAAATGAAAAAATAGAGAAGAAAAAAATTTTTCTTACAATTTCCATTTAGCTTAGAACATTCTTGCTCTTGAAGGCTTTATTATTCATGAAAAGTTCTACCAACTACCAGTTTTTGAATAAAATGTTTCAAAATACATTAAAGTTTATCAGAACTCCGTTCTCACTCTATTATAACCATGAAATATTTTATAGTCTTTAATACTTCCTCTACCGTTCACATTCTCCTATCTTCTACACTTCACCTTGATGACTCAATTTATATTTCACGTAACAAGAAGAAACTCATATTAACTTCTTTGGTAACATTTTCTACTTGTTCACAATTCTGCTATTAAATTATTGCAAAAATACTGAAGACTAATCAACTCTAATTTCGCTAAAACTCCAAACAAATAATGACGTTTTTTCATTGTTGGCTGTAGTTTAATGAAAATGATATTTCGAACAAAATGATTACATATCAACGGTTTTCATAAAATTATTGAGAAAATAGTGAAACAAAGGACAAAAGAATAAGGTGGAAAAAAATAAATACCAGAATGCAAGCAGTCAAAGGTGAGCGACCACTTAACGAATTTATAATCCTGAATCACACCTCTAGATAAAAACGCAAGAACGAAAATTATAAACAGCACCAAGGGGTAAAGAGTAACAAGTTATGGGCCAGCAAAAAAATGTGTGCATTAATTCATTTCACTTATGAATGACAGGAAGCGTACATGCAAGCAAATGCAAATACACCAGAAAATGTAGAAGGGTAAACTGCACAGCTGTAATTGTATAACACAACAGGCAAGTGGAACATAATAATGTCGACAGAAATGTATAGCAAGTAACACACTTGATACCAATATATTTTTTCAAGGACTGTATGTCATATATTTGTATCTATAATTTACAGCAAGCAGTCCTTGAAAAATTTCCTTATCAGACATTATATATATGAAAGAGACCAGACAAAGTACAAGAGGAAAATTATCTTGAAGACATTTACCGTGAATCAAGCGGTGAATATGCCATATACAATCCCTCCAAATCAAAGACTGATATTGCCAGGCTGCTCCAAGTAGTGCTACAGCGCTACAAAGATATGACAAGATGGATGAAGTTATCGAGGTGAAAGTCAAGCATAGAAAAGAATGTAAGTTTGAATAACTGCCACAAAAACTTCACAGGGCGGTATTTAACCGGTGAAACGCTTAAACGTTAAAACTTAAGGGAGGCCAAGTGTATGAGAGGTATGAATCATACACTTGCTGTCAAACATGACTGTTATGAGGTCCTAAGCATGCTGACAGGGCTTATGAAAGTTTATGAAAATAAATTAAAAAGTTATGAGTCTAATACACTAACCTAGGAACAGCCCAATAGACACAATGTAGAGAACGAAGAAATCAAGAAGTTTAGGGATATGGTGTGGAATTCGGGAATGGAAAAGGATAACCATATCCGTCACAACGAATATCTGGGAGAATTCATTTCAGATCATGAAGCGCATGATACTTTCCCCTCTGAAGACGAATTTGGGAAGACATCTCCTTACTTGCCCATTTGGAAGGCACCGGTCTCTAGTGTAGTCTACAACTTCTTTATCTAAAAGTGCTCTTCCCTGCATCCAAATCTATATAAAATAGTTGGATTTTGCCAACATTAAAAAAACGTAATTCAGTTAATCACCAGTGAATGCACTGAAAGGTTAACAAGCCAGCATATTTCTAAGAAGCATCACATGCAGATGGGCAGTTGTATTAAAAAATAATGGAGAAACTATAATGAAAAAGAAAATATAAAGAGAAATACTCTAAGGTGATATCCTCCCTCCGCTGCTACCCATTCTGTACATGGATCTGTTCAGTCGAAGGCTTAATATATGGTATTCAGAGTGGCGTTTCCTACCGATCAAGGAATGCACATAACGAACACTCTATTTTTTGTGGATGATCTCAACCTCCTTGGAACTGATGATTATATCATGAACTGGCCAAAGAAGTCCAGAAATTATTTGAAATAGTTGGGTTAGAGGTAAATCCAGCAAAGTCAGCCACTAATACTGAGGTATACATTTATAATGCGGTACTCTTAAAAGGAACACAAGTATACAAATACCCTAGAATAATAGACTACAATACTAGTGCACCGATTCGAAAAAAGCCAGCGCGAGAAAATGAGCGATTAACCAAAACTGCACTAAATAGCAAGAACTTTATCAAGGTAGTAAATCATTGGTCAAAACAGTTTGACTGCAGTCGAGACCGAGAAGAAGCGAAAATATGATTTATTGGCTAATAAACACGCAGCAAAGATGAAGTACATGACGAAAATAATTCCGTATGTGATGACTTGGGATGGGATAGGGACGAACTTCCATTAGACGTTACGTGTAGGAAATCTGTGTATCTCGTCACGTCGCGGTATATATGCAAACAGTAGATCTCAAAATGCTCGAAAGCATCTCCTTCCATATTTGTTATGGATTTCACGAGGACGAAGCGAAAACAATGAGTACAAACAAATCTGTGCGCGGGAGAAGTACAGAGTGTCGGGATACAATCTAGCGCCAGAATCAATGAAACGAAAACTAACGTTCACATTTTCTTTCTTTTTATATATATATCACCTTGCATATTGCTTAATAAGATGTAATCGAAAAAATTGCAACATTTTAGGAACCTGCAGTTTAAAAGTAATTTCTTTAAATACCAAGACTGGAAAGCATGTGGCTACTTACGTTGTATATCTTTGCTGCTTTAGACATATGCACTAAAAACACGTGAAACATCAAAAAATATGCTGACAAATTGAACAGATCCAATGCAAATAATATTTGCAAGCAAGTTGAACACCTGCATTTGTGAAACACGGAGTGTAAGTGAAAAGCTCGGCCAGCCGCTGAATTCCGCACCTACCAATCGAGATACAGAACTATGTAAAGGAAAGGTGTAGAAATGGTTACGTGTTTTGTGTTTGGAGTCTAGGATTGAAGAAGTGTTGAGGGTTACTGGTAGTTGTTCATTTTGGGTCAAAGTAAATTTTAGAGTTATGACATCAGAACTGAGGAAACTGCTTTCCACTGCCATATATTACCAATGAGGAATAAAAACATTCCAATGATAAATTGTTTACTTCAGGATGTCTTAAAATCTGATCATATCCGTAGTAATTTACCTCGTTGCTCATAAATCAAGTCTAAGTTACAAATGAATTCATGATAGATAAAATGTAGATTTTCAGGTTTTCATAACAAGCATGACATGAGTAGCGTCACACAAAACGGTGGCTCTAGTCGATATTTGACTAAGGGCAGTGACGTCTACACCTACCCATTGAAGTATTAGTATAAAAGTATTCACTGCTCATATGTAGACAGTAGGATTGATATTGATATCGTTCATTTGATGACAAACTGCGCAAAATATGCTAGTATTATTAGTTTTGCTTAGATGCCATTTGTAGATTCAGCAAGTCTTTCATGACGTAGCACTCTTAGCACAATTTTATCAGTGCAATATATTTTGTAGCGAAAACTTGCTTGCACTGCTGTGCAATTTATTTAGTGCAAAAAGTATATGATTAATCGTTAACATTTTTATCTTACATCATATTTTGAAGTTTAAGCTTCAGTTTTTGTTGTCCTACATTTTATGGACACTTTTATGTAATGCCAAGTAGTTACAAATGTTTTTGAGATACTTTCAACACGTTTTACGTCTATATCTGAGCAGACATATCGGTGCACATAATCCTGTATTGAACAAATTAAATACTCCTCAATTTTACAGCCTTTGTGCTTGACGGGAATTGTCATGACTGTCAGTCATTTATTGGCTTCAAAACTATCGTCATCAAAATGAATTGGTGACATTTCGGATATTAAATAGAGCTCTCGATTTTTTAATACCACAACTGTCTAAAATCATAAATAATTTTCTCTCTCACATGACAAAGTATTGCTGACTGCTTGGAGACTTCTTACGTTCAGTCTGACGCATGTTTTTTAGTAGTACGCTTTTTTTTTGTT